TAAACTTCATTGGATTATGAAAAAACCTAGCATGTCTGGGTGGATCATGGAGGTGTGGCTTTGGGCACTATATATGCTCCCTCACTCTCTCCTTTCTGGAACCCTGCTCTGCTTCCCTGCTGTCATGAACTGAGAAGCTTTGCTCTACCCTTACACCATAACCTTCCTATGTTGGAGCCTACCAACCAAAAAGTGAATCTTCTGAAACGTGAGCTAAATTAGACCTTTTCTCAAGATCTATATATATTGTGTCTCAGCAACAGGAAAGCTATGTCCATACTTCTGATTATTTTTTTGGGGGGATATGAACACTTTTAGAGTTTTTGTCCATGCTACCAAATTGCTTTTTCCAGAAAAGTTGGTCCCACCAGCAATGAGAGAGGCTCCCACATCTTTTCTTCATTGTTCACTTATCTATTAGACAAAAGTTATATATTATCACTTTAATTTGCATTGGAGATTATTAGTGAGTTTAGTTTTTTTCTGGTTTGTCATGTCCTCTTTTAAAAACTATCTGGTCACATGTACCCCTCCATCCCCCAGCCTCACCCCCACGCCCCCGCTGCTCCAGGTCTCCAAGGCGCAGTCCTCTGTTGTAAGCCCTCTCTTCCCTCCAGTCAGCCTATCCCTGAGCCCACCTGGCCTGGGTGTTTATGCTCCACTCTTGGCTCCTAAATTGCCCCTTCCCTTCTGACTTAGCAGCCCTTGCCATTGCTCACAAGCCTCTCCCTTTCCTTCTATAGTCACTGGCTGGTCTCTCATGGTTTCTGTATCTGTGGATACCTCCTTGCTCCGTCTCCCTGAAGCTCCCACACCAGAGGGCAGAACAACCAAGTAGGAACCTAGAGTTTTCTAGCAGGCTGTCAGAGGCTGTCGTCTGTCTATGACCTGTGCTGACAGGAAAGGTCTTTGTCACCGAGCTGGGCTGAGTGAAGGAGTGAGGGGAGCACTAAAGGGGCCTCACCTGCTGAGACTGCACAACCCTCTCATCTTTTCCTTCCCCATGTTCCCTTCTCTCCCCGTTATTCTAACTCAGGCTTTAATTTTCACAAATGATACAATTTGGTGGTTTGGGATTTCTGCTGGAGAATTTCTATGATCCTCTGAGCCCGGGGGTTTGTTTGCCCTTGTTGGAGAAGAGGGACGTTGGATGCTCTGCAGACCCCGTCAGGCTGTGGTAATAGGCAGGCACTGTGTGAGCTGTACACTGCAAAGCTGGTCCTCCTTAGTGAGATTTCACAGAAATCCCACTGGAGATTTTCTGGCCCCTGCCCTGTCTACTTTCCTTCATAATGATGAATGGCTGAAAAGAAAACTATCTAATCTCCAAACTGCTGGCTTTTCCCCCCTATTCTTTCTTCAAGGAGAGAAGGAAGAACACAGTCACATAAAACAGAGTCCTTCATCGCCTGTTTCTCAGGAGACGGTTCTTTCCCTTTTCATCCTAGGCCTGTTTCTGATCTGTGATGGGCTTGCACTGAAAGCTCCAGGCTGGTCCCTCTAATCAGCTGCGACAGAGCTGCAGTTGCTTGGGCTGCCCATTTGAATTGAATTGATTACCCGGCCTCTCTGCCATTTTGTTCTGTGCACAGTTGCTTAATAGCTGTCACCTTGGCTTTCAGTCCTGGCTGGCTTCGGTTCCCATTACTCAGGAATGGTTCCCATTACTCAGGATGGCCAATGCAAGTTCATCACCTTTACAGGATGTCCCTGATTGATTCCGTATGCCTTGGAGACCTGCGGTACATTTGCATAGGGGCAGCTGGGGGATGGAACAAGAATCTCAGGGCCGGAGGACCTGTCAGGTTTTCCCACGGGGGCTCGCCATGTTTGACTCATTACCAGGACTTCTTGTCAGGAGTCTGGCCTCTGCTGACATAAGTGCTAATGAATTTGTAAATTTGTTTAAAAATACAAAACAATACAGGCTGCTCTAACCTTTGCTGTCGCCACCTGCTGCCCAGGTGGGGGCAGTGAGCAGAAACTGCACTTTTTCTGGCCTGAGCTTGTGCAGGTCTTTGAAACGACAACTTCCCCCTCTCTCACCCCCTTCCCGGGTCCCAGGAGCAGTAGAGCTGGCTTGGAGGGAGACATCTTTCAAGTGAAATCCTTTGCACTGGGAACTACTTCAATTAGACAGCAGGGGGAATGTTAACATGCCCTCCGGCCTTTTAAGTGGGTTTTAATTTTATGTTGTAAGATAAGACACTGCAAGGCTGGGCTGCTGCTCCTCCAGCAGGCTCCATTAGTGGGGTGAGCGGAGGCCTCTTGACCCTCTGAGGCCCAGCTGAGGCTGGAAGTTGGTTTGGTTTTTTAACAATTTGTCGGTCTGAGCTAGTTTCATTTTCCTCTCTTTGGTTATTTTGGGCTCTTCTGTTGCGGAGGACTGTTGGGTGGGCAGCCGAGCTGCCCCAAGAGGCCCATCCCTGGGCTGGGAGCAGAGCCCTGGAGACCGCCTGCCCATGGCCATGAGCTAAATGGTAATTGGCTCTTTTCGCCTTCCCAGGCAGGATACAGCAGCAGCAGACACTTGTCACGTGGCAGGCTTCTGGGCTGATGATGTATGACCTGCTGGTGCTACTGAATGGTGCCCTTTGTTCCAGGAGATCCCATGTGCCCCCTTTTATGAAGTTGTTGATTCAGAAGGGCAGGAAAGTTCCACAAATCTCACTGCAGGCCCAGCTCTGTCACCGTGCCCAGGTGAGACAGCCTAGGGACTGCATGTTTCCCAGGAAGCTGGTAGGAAGCTGTGGGCTCCTGGGACAAAATACCCCTTAAGGAGCAGCTCTCTTGACCTTGGACTCAGCCAACTGTCTGGAAAAAACTGTGCGCTCGGAAAAAGACATCTAACCCTCTGCCCAAGTTCCAGAAGGTATGAAGTCTCCCAGACAGGACACTAAGGTATGCAGTATCCCCGACAGGTTACTAGCAGCAAAAAGAAGCCCCCTTCCCTATTCATTGCACCAAGAAGCCCAAGGTGAGAGCCAGCAGCTCAGGGAGGAAGGAACTTGGCCTCTGTTTGCAGGATGAAACCCAGCCAGAGACCCCAGAGCCAGGCGGGAAGACTCTGAGAACAGGAGACGGGGCTGACTTCTTAGCCAGCAGGAAATCTCTGCATCCAGAGCCTGAGGATTGAAAGGCACCCTTCCCCTGGCCTCTCTTCTCCTGCTTTCCAGACTGGAGTGCGCGGCTAGGAGGGCGCTGGGCAAGAGGAACAGGTACAAGCAAGGAGCACTGACAGCATCTTGCTGTACCTGCTTCTCTTCTAATCCAGTGAGGTGAACCCAGACTTGATTTCACCTCACTCCATATCGCTCCACCCTGTGGCCAAGCTTCAGGGATCTAGCAAAAGAGTGGACAAGAAAAGGGCTTTGCCAGGATTTGACTCAGCCTTTCTGGCATGGAGATAGCTGATGAACTCTCGTCTCTAGCTGCTCCAGGAAGGCCCAGGCTCCGGCTCTAGTTCTCACCCGGTCTTAAGTTCCTTCTCCAAAGCAGCGGCACGAATCCCACCAAGAATTCTCGACCTGGGAGACCGCTTTCCCAAAACTGCTGGGCTGTGTGTTGACTGCTAAAAGGAAACAGATTCTTATCACCTGTTCTGCCCTTCTTGGGCCTGGAGTCTAGCCCCATAACTTGGGGAGTACCCTTGTTCCCTGAAAATAAGACCTAGCTGAGAAAGACTCAGCCTTGAAAGTTAGAGATCAAAAATGCTGGCCCCATCAACCTTGCCTCACCTGCCCTCACTACTCTTGTTTAGAGGATACTCTGCAAGGCAGGTGAGGCAAAAACAGGCTGATTGGGGCTGGCATTTTTTATTTCTAGCTCTCAAGACTGTCTTTCCCCAGTAGGTCTTATTTTCAGGGAAACGCAGTATCAGATCAAAACTGCACTGCCTGCTGGTCCTAAATTCATTCTGGACTCAGAGGCTCTGAGGCACAATTGTCCAGAGACACTGAGGGCCCCACTGGGCACTTAAAAAAAAAGTACAGCAGAAGGGGACACAGACACCATGGCTAGGCCAAGAAATGACAAGCCAGTAATAAAAAGCATCCACACACTTCACAGTTGTAAGGTGGCTTTATGGTCCAATACGTGAAATAAAATGCCCATGCTATATAACAAAACACTTGAAGTTCCATATCACCTGTTAGCTAATGTGTTTTCTAATAAAGCTGTATCTGTAGTGTGTGTTTATATAATATATATATATATATATATATGCTTTATCAAAACCATTTAGTTTTTA